ATGTTAATCATCCTTTTAAAATATTGAAATTACATCAGGAATAAGGGTAGGAAGTATCTTAGATAAATGGATTATGAGTTTACCTAGTCAAACCAAAGAGTTTCCCTAGCCAACCATCTAATTCAGTGACAGTTTACAATAGGCCATTTCACTATATCTAGATGATAAATAGTTCTTTCTTTGTACATTATGTTTAATTTTTGTATTTTAGTTGTTTGTACAGGTTTACTAACAAGTTATTTGCAATATGAGAGTATAATTAATTATAATGTAATTTGTCGTGGATATGAAATGCATGAAATATACAAAGAAACAAAATCAATTGTCATGTCCTACTAATTCAGGGAAAAGAGATTCAGATAACCAACTAGTTGGCACACTTTCTATGTACCAGGACAATTTTACTAAAATACTTGCAATTAGGTGCTTTTACAGTAGTTATCTTCCTTCTATCTCTGTCCTACAGATTTGCAGTAAATGAGGTACAGAGGGAAGCATTACTGGCCAACAAGAAGCGCCTTGGAATTGAGGAAGAAGTGCAGCCAGAAAGGAAGCATAGGAAACGGTTCAAAGGGCCCAACCCTCTTTCCTGCAAGAAGAAAAAGAAGAAGCAGCAGCAGCCACCCCCACAACCCATCTCTTCCGGCAGCATGCCGAACAATGTTGAGCCCGAGCTCAAGCCCAAGCGCAAGCGCAAGCGAACCAAAATACCACAGCATATCAAGGAACACTTTAGAGAAATGTTGAATAACAAAGATAAATAAATTTGTAAATTAAAATTTTATTAACTTCATTTTCCCTGGTCCTTAGATAACACAAAATTCTCGCAACTTTCACTATGTCCAATGTCAGTTCTGTGTCATGAATTTCATTTTGTAAGTTTTCGATTAATTTGAAATATCAGTTAAATGTTTAATTTATCTTAGAATGATTAGAACAGCACTCCCTAAACCTCATGCTTTACAAATAATTAACTATTAGTTTTCAAAAATTGTCCATATTCATGATCGTGTAAAACATTTCTAAGGAACAGCAAGACAACTCTTCTTCCAATAAAATATCTTTCCTTCAACCAGAAACCATTAACTCTTTTTCGATGCTACTTGACTTAATTTATGATTTGATTTCTTTATGTAATATCTCTTATAACATTATACACAAACAATATTACTTCTGAAAAATGTAAATTAATCTCCCTTAAATTGTTCTTAATATAAAATTATTAATTGCAACAAAAAAGATCTTACATTGCATATTCATTTGCCATTAAATAACAAAATACAACAAATAATATCTAACAACCTTAAGACTGAGTAAATAATTACATATGGTAAAAGTGTTTGTTGGAATATGAGCGTATAATGAAGTAGACACTTGGCAATTTGTTTATAGAGTTCTATATGCTTTATAATTCATGATCCTGGAAAACTATATCACATTTTATTTTTGGGTCAAAAAGTACTCGGAGATCTTTAATATGATCAATTATTTCCAATTGGTGCCCATCTATGCTGTAAGAATATGTTATGGGAGACTTCAAGTTTTATATTCTCAGAACTACACATGTGCTATTGTTATAACCTTAAAATACAGCAAATAGCAACTGCTCCACATCGGTAACGCATTGTCTGCGAAAGTATTTTATTGCCTTCTATGATTTTGACATCTATGTAACTTCAAGTCATCCTCAAATAGTAGAAATGGGCATGTCAGTAATATAAATTTTGTCATTTATAAATATCACGAACAACAAGGGTCCTAAATTAGTCCTTTGGTTTACCTGAATAGTTATAGATGTTTTTGGAGATGTAAGATTTTGATTTTACATTTTGAACTCTAATGGAGAGGTAGTTTTATAACCACGATAATAGCAGAGAGTATAGATTTAAAATTGGTTATAATATTTTTTGATTAACTGTATCAAAAGCTTTTTTTTTTTTAATCGAAATAAATAGTGCCTACTTGAGATTTATTTTCCAACTTATCAAGTTTAAAATGTTGGAAATCATTACATTTGTCATTGTTGACCGTTTTCTTCTGAACCCACACTTTGTCTATTATAATTTGGTTTTGTGAAAAAGAAAGTTTTTGCTGTTAGGGGCCATCCATAAACTACATCATGCCCTTAGGGGAAGGGAGTTCAAATAGCGAAAAATTAAGAAAGTTGAAAAAAAGAAGAAATAAGTTCTTTGGGCGGTGATAGCTGGCAGCTGGCAAGAGTATGTGGCAAGTTTGTATAACCAAAGCAAGTTCGTAAGACCAAAGGAAATAGGAAACGAATAGGGAAAGTCGATGCCGTTCTGTAGCACTAGTTTTTACTGTATCTAGAACTTATTGTACTAATATATATAGTAATAATAGTAAAAATACTCATTTTTTTTGAAATTATATAACAATTTTTAACAACATGCTATAAAAATCAACTCTAGAAAATAAATTATATCACATTATTATACAAGAGGCAATAAGAAACTAATGCCTCTTAATT